TCTCTGGCAGACACACTCTCAGGCACATACACAGGTAAACTGTGCATCAATTTGTATATGTGACAGTGTGCATGTATTGCAACTCTTGCATTTTTCACTGTTAGTGGGGCCTCATGTTTGAGTTTCGCCTATGGCCTCATAAAGTCTAGACCCGCCTCTGTGTAGGTGAGCTTATCCTTTCTTTCTTTTTTCTCTCTTTTTTTTTTTAAATAGGGAGGGACCATGCCAGCTAGATTTATTTTATTAAAATCAGCATTTGATTAGAGTAATCCTTTAAGGTATATTTAAAAGCCATTTCAGATATTGTGCTTGTGTGTATTTGTTTGTTATCAATTGTTATAGTTTAGCTATAATACTTACACTGAACAGCCACAACATTAAAATCACTGATATGTGAAGTGAATTGCATTGCTTAATAATTACAATGGCATGTGTCAAGGAGTTGGATATATCAGACAGCAAGTGAACAGTCAGTTCTTTAAATCCATGTGTTGAAAGCAGGAATAATGTGTAAGGGAAAATATGTGAGTAACTTTGACAAGAACCACATAGGGATAGCTAGACAACTGGGTCGTAGAATTTCCAAAGCTGCACGTGTTATAGGGCAGTGCTCCTCAACCCTCTCCTCAAGGCACACGTAACAGACCAGGATTTAGGGATTAAAGGTGTGTCTAAGGTGTATAGAAAAAAAAAAACCTTAGGGTCTAACATGTTTTTAGTTATTTTTTCCTTTTTTTTTAAAACACACCTGGGTAATCCCTAAATATAATAATAAATATAATATTGGACTGTTAGGTATACCTTGAGGAGAGGGTTGAGGGCCACTGTTATAGGGTGTTCTCTGTAGGCAGCGGCTATTACCTAACACAAGTGCTCCTCGCTTGGTCTATAAGCGAAGACCAACCTCTGAACGGGGCAAAGTTTTCTTAGGTGAATTTCGTATTTGCGACATGAATTTTGCCATGTTGAAATTCACATTTGTTTCTGTGTAAAGTGCACAGAACAACTACAGTACTGTACTAAATACTGGTAACCCTCTGAACAGGACGAAATTTGCATTCACGACAATGTTGTGAGGTACTTTTTTCTGTTAATTTAAATGTTTTTATTGTTTTATACAATTTTTTTACAATTTTATACAATTTTACACTTTTAAAATCTCTGAAGGTACAATGCATAATTTAGAATTCATTCATGACATATACTTATTATCTCAACATTGTACAAATAAGTGATGGTAATCTCATTTATGTATAGAGTTCCTAATGCTCCCAGAGAAAAAAAAAATAACATAAAAACAAAAAAGAAGATACCTCGTATCTTTGTCGCAAATGTGAATTTCACCCTGTTCAGATGAATCACAGTATGAAGTACAGTACTTTAGTGGTTCTCTTACTTTTCACAGAATCAAATGTGAATTTGAACCTGGCGAAATTCATCTCAATGAATGTCGCGAATGCAAATCACTTATGTAATATGTGGTTGTTGTCCAAGTAGGTTGTAAATTGAGGAGCATCTGTAAAAGTGATGTAAGGAAGGACAACTGATGAACCAGCGTCAGGATCATGGGTGCCCAAGGCTCTTTCATGCACATGTGGAGCGAAGCAAGCCATCTGGTTTCAGAACATAAAGGCCATGACAGAAAGGTGTCAGAACACACAGTGCAATGCCATTTGCTATGTATGGGGCAGCCTTGGATTCTGGCATTCATGTGGATATTACTTTGACATGTACTAGCTACCTAGAGATTTTTGCAGACCATGTGCACCCGTTAATGGCAATCGTGTTCCCTGACAGCAGTGTCCTCTTTCGGCAGGATAATGCATCCTGCCACACTGCAAAAATTGTTCAGGTATGCTTTGAGGAACATGACGAAGAGTTTAAAGTGTTGCCTTGTTCTCTAAATTCCCCTGATCTCAATCCAATTAAACATCTGTGGGATATGCTAAAACAATAAATCTGATCCATGGAGGCCCAACCTTGCAACTTGCAGGATCTGCTGCTATTGTCTTTGTGTCAGATATCACAGGACACATTCAGAGGTCTTGTGGAGTCCATACCTCAATGCATCAGAGCTGTTTTGGTATCACAAAGGGGACCCAGGCAATATTAGGCAGATGGTTTTAATGTTGTAGCTGATCAGTGTATTTATTCTTTAAAGGACCACTATAGGCACCCAGACCACTTCAGCTCAATGAAGTGGTCTGGGTGCCAGGTCCCTCTAGTTTTAACCCTGCAGCTGAAAACATAGCAGTTTCAGAGAAACTGCTATGTTTACACTGCAGGGTTAATCCAGCCTCTAGTGGCTGACTCCCTGACAGCCACTAGAGGTGCTTCTGCGCTTCTCAGTGTGAAAATTGCATTGAACTTACGCAGCGTGAGTTCAGATACCCATAGGAAAGCACTGAGTAATGCTTTCCTATGGGCGATTTGAATGCGCACGCGGCTCTGGACGCGCATACGCATTCGACTCCACTCAGGAGCTGACGTCGCAAGGGGAGGAGAGGTCACCAACACAGAGGGAGCCCAGCACTGCATTAAGGTTTTATCCCCTTCAGCCCAGCGGGCTTGTTTTCCTGGCACTACAGTGCTCCATTAATTTAATTGCTTAATGTTGCTTGTATACATATCAATTAGGGTTAGAAAAGGTTTTTTTCAATTGACGAAGGTACTTTCAGTTGATGAATTAGCAACATTTTGGATGTTTGCATAGGATTATCAACCACTCTCTTCAGCAGGATTGTGATTGAAAAAAACCTCTGTGCTTATCATAAGATGTTGGGGTTCTTTTTCAAGTAATGGTAAAATCAATTTCTGATCACATTACATAGTTACATAGTTACATAGTTACATAGCTGAAAAGAGACTTGCGTCCATCAAGTTCAGCCTACCTCACATTTGTTTTTTGCTGTTGATCCAAAAGAAGGCAAAAAAACCCAGTTTGAAGCACAATTTTGCAACAAGCTAGGAAAAAAATTCCTTCTTGACCCCCAGAATGGCAGTCAGATTTATCCTTGGATCAAGCAGTTATTACCCTACATTGAAAGATTATATCCTTGAATATTCTGTTCTTGCAAGTATGCATCTAGTAGCCGTTTGAACATCTGTATGGACTCTGATAAAACCACTTCCTCAGGCAGAGAATTCCACATTCTGATTGTTCTTACAGTAAAAAAACCTTTCCTTTGCCTTAGACGAAATCTTCTTTCTTCCAGTCTAAACTCATGGCCTCGTGTCCTATGTAAAGTCCGGTTTGTGAATAGATTTCCACACAATGGTTTGTATTGGCCACGAATATATTTGTATAATGTTATCATATCCCCTCTCAGGCGACGTTTTTCTAAACTAAAAAGGTTTAAATTTGTTAACCTTTCTTCATAGCCGATATGTTCCATTCCTTTTATTAATTTTGTAGCCCGCCTCTGCACTTTTTCTAGTGCCATAATATCCTTCTTTAGAACAGGTGCCCAAAATTGCACAGCATATTCAATATGGGGTCTTACCAGTGATTTATAAAGAGGCAAAATTATATTCTTGTCCCGAGAATGAATGCCCTTTTTCATGCATGACAATACCTTACTGGCCTTGGCCACTGCTGATTGACATTGCACATTGTTGCATAGTTTGTTGTCTATAACAATTCCCAACATTGTTAATGTTAATTTGCAGTCACTAACGTGTTGATGAATATCGGATACGAGATTGTAATTTCTTACATAATTACTTTTTTCAGTCAAACAAACCTACAATAGTTTTCTATTTTATCTACTAGTAAATAAAATGCCCAGAACTTGAATTTGAACTGTGCTAGTGCAACAGTAAAAATGTGCTAGGTGTATAATGTTGCCCATGGCTATGCACTTTCATGCATTTTTAATATATTTATAGGATTTGTACAGATGAAACACTTATTCTTGTAACCCGATTCTGAAAAAAAAGTGCATTTTTTTTTTTAAAAGGAAAAATTGTTCAGACATTAAAAATGTTTTAATGCTTAATTTTATTGCATCCTGAAAAGTGCATAAGAAAATACTATACTCCGTAGTATATTCGAATGCACTTTTCAGGATGCACTGTTTCTTTAGCTAATGTTCGAATCTTCAATTACATGTTAAACTGTCATGAGTATAGATAATATATTTTTTTAATTTTTTTTTTATAAATCTTTATTTTATTTGTGCGTAGAGAGAACAAACATGTTTGCACTGCCACAATAGCTAGTGCAAGCAAAAATATAGACATAGCTTCACATTGTTATGGCAGTTAGAAACTTTGCACATTTTTAGTTTTTGAGAGTCAGAATGTGGAACGATTTGAGTTTTAAACACGAAAAAAAAATAAAACAAATTAAAAAAAATTACCCGGCTGATCAGTGTTCCGTTAGTAAAAGTTAAAGATAGCTTGGAGAGCGTTAAAGGTATATCAAGGGAAGTAAACCACGCTTGTATGCTAGCGACCTACTTAACGTGCAGTATACTTTTCCACAGGCTAGGTCTACACTCGGTAATTCTTTTCAAGAATAATTGCAGATTGGTATGGTTACAGGCTTAAACGTGCAGCTATGGTTAAACACAGGCTAGGTTATGGCTGATGGTAGGGCTGCATTAATTGAAAACAATGCAGCATGACATGACTTGTCACTGGTTGCCAATATAGAGATATCGCTGGTTGCCAACATGGAACATAGGAAACATACCACTGTTTGATAAGGCCATAGTCCCATGTGGCTGGCATAACTTCAACTTTATCTTAACAATATTATCTGTCTGGGTATCAATGGGCTGGTATATAACAGTAAGTCTTGAGGGGGGCACGGGTACCTCGCTCAGGGGCATGTGGCACTGTTAGCCGATGCCTCGGCTTGGTATATCCATATCGTCCCTGGGATTCATCAGATGCTGGCCTTGCTGCCTTGCCATGCAGAGTCCCGCTTGTCTGGTGTGGATGGAGACATCTAGGCAGTCACTTAGGGCTGTAATGGTGATGGGGGAGTTCATCCCTCAAGCTTGTGCCAGAATATTAGTCTTATCGCTGCAGGCCCTGTGACCTCCGGTTGTCTGCTGCCGTTCAGGTTTGGGCCTCACGCTTGAGTTCCATCTCATCTGGGTAGTGCCATAGTGTCTCGGTTGCGGGAATCCCCTCTTGCCCCGGAGCTGTGGGAGAACTGGCGCTCGTAGGCCACGAGGCTGGGAACCTTCATGGTCCAGGGTCGGCCCTTTCGGGTTGGTGCGGGAAGGTAGGTCAGGTCGCTTGGGGTTTCGTCTTGCCCCTCTCCGCTTGTGTGGCCAGCGCCTCTGGGGTACTCCCCATCTTGCTCTCAGCCTGGGAGGGCTTAGGATGTGGGGGATCGATGTGGGGGTCTTAGAGTTGCCCTGAGGAGGACTCCCACTCTCCCGTCCACCATCGGCTCTTACCCTTGTGGGTAATGTTTGGCTGGGCATTGCAGGCTTGATGTGTGCCCGTAGTTTGGCCCAGAAGCGGTCGAAGATTAGTGTGATGGGATCTTTTACGCAGTCCTCGGTGTCCTCTGCATCCGGTGGTCGCTGTCGCTTGTCGGACACTGTCGTGTCGAAGTGATCCGCCATCTTGGGTGCTCCTGTCCCCTCGTCTCTTATGGTGGTCTGTGCGCTTGTCTGTTGGTGTAGGGTTCGGGGCAGCCCGCCAGGCAGGGACCGGGATATCCTCCGCCGGTCCATAGGGGGGGGGAGTCCATGTTTTGCACTCGCTTTTCACAGTTGGGATCCGGCAGGATGGCGGCCGTCCTTCCCTCCTGTTTCCACTATGCCTCAATTTGCTACCACGGTTCCCGGTTGAATCGGGTCTCAAATTTGGTACCGGCATAGTCGTGGTTGCTTCCCCTAGCCTACTGGCAGGTTTGTAGGGGAATCGCAGCAGGCAATCTCCAGATATTTGCAGAATTTGAGCCTATACTGCAGGAGCTCATGCAATGTGCATCTATTCAGCTTGCCTGTTCAGCTCCGCCCCCCGATAATATATTTTATCATTCAATGTTTATTGCATATATGCCATCAATGTACAAAGAATATACTGACTATGCAAAGTTGCAAATGGTCAGTGCTTAAGGGGACACTATAGTCACCAGAACAACTACAGCTTATTGAATTTGTTCTGGTGAGTAGAATCATTACATTCAGGCTTTTTGCTGTAAACACTGTCTTTTCAGAGAAAATGCAGTGTTTACATTACAGCCTAGTGATAACTTCACTGGCCACTCCTCAGATGGCTGTTAGAGATCCTGGGTCATGGCTGCCTAAAATGCATACAAACATTCAGTATCTCCTCCCTCTGCATGCAGACACTGAACTTTCCTCATAGAGATTCATTGACTCAATTCATATATATGAGGAGATGCTGATTGGCCAGGGCTGTGTTTGAATCGTGCTGGCTCTGCCCCTGATCTGCCTCTTTGTCAATCTCAGCCAATCCTATGGGGAAGCATTGTGATTGGATCAGGCTACCACTTCTGATGATGTCAGCAGACTGCTTGTTTTTCTGAGTCTTACAGTATGCAGAGTTACAGCTTCAGGCTTGAATACAGTAAGATTTTTACTATATTTATGGAGGCATAAGGGGTCAAGGGGGGCTAGATAAACTGTTGGAAGATGTTATATTAACAATGATGATGATAAGACTATAAATTGTCAGTGGGAAAGGAACTTCGGTGGTTAACAGTGTATACTTTACACTACTGAATAAAGAGGAAAATGAGAACTCCAAATGCTTGACCACAGAGAGCGGAGTAGAGAGTGATGCTTCTAAGATGCCACAAGAGCTGGAAAAGAAATAGAGATGAAGAAGAGAGGGGAAAGAAGAAGAAAATGGGGGGAACACGAGGAATGAGAGAAGGAAGGGGATAGAGTTTGGAGATTAGTTGAAACTAAAGATCCAAGAAAGCATTCTAAAAGCATTCTGATTATAAAAAGAGGGGTCCAAAATGAGACACCCCACCCATTCTATTTCTTGGAGACTGCCAACTATACAGTTAGTTGTCGAGAGAATAAAAACAGGTATTGGTATATTTTTTGTGGTTGTCAGATGCAGAAAGGATTCGTTCTTCATCTGGATCTCTAGTGGTTCAAAATCTCAGACCACGGGGTATGATACTCTGCTTTCCGAAATTAGGGTTAAGGCTGCGATCTGCATTGATCAAATGGAATTACTGCTTTGTAAGTATGTACCTATAGTGAAAGGAACCACTAACAGATATCCCTGAGACATTAAGTACTACTTTTGTAGACCTTCTACTGTAATGCGGCTTAGGGGAGCCTCATTTGAGTTTTCCTTCTCCAATATAAGACTTACATGCATACAAGCAGCCTTACTTCATAGCCTGCTTTAAAAGTATCGGTTACTCTTTGTCAACTTACACTACAGGGTTGATACTTTGTACCATCTCTTAGACCTCTCTCAATACCCTCTAATTGGGTATCATAAGGGCAAAATAATTTTTTTATTTTATAGTGTGTTATTGTGATTTTTATTCAATTTTTTATCATTAGTACTAATATTGGTTAAGTTTTAACCCCTTAAGGACACATGTCGGAAATATTCACAGAAATATTCACCTTTTTTGATTTGTTTTGTTTTGGTTTAGTTTTTTTTTCTTCATCTTATCATTTACTATATAGGGGTCATCCCCCATTTTATTTTGTCTTCTTCTTTGACATATTGGTATTATTTTTCTTTTTGTATGCATATTCACAGGGGTGCAACAATACACACACCTTTTATATTTGCATACATATAGACATACAACTTAATACACTTATATCTATATATATGCACCCTGGCCTCACACACTAATTCTTGACTCACATGCACCCCTGCATTCACATATGTACTGTCCCTCAAATTCATTCACAGCAAATGTCCACAACTATATATCGATAATCGACACATTCACACAATTATACAAACACTGATCCTCCACACACATGTACCACTGCTTTTGCACACACAAATGCATGCACTGCCCCTTCACACGCACACATGTATATATATATTTATTTATTTGTAAAATAACAGTTAGAATGTGATTCTTGTAATACCTATTTTTAATTGGACTAACAGAATTTTGTTATGACAAGCTTTCAGGAGAAATACAATTTTGCATTCACACACATTAGCCCAGTACACACACACATAACTGCATTAATAGTCACATTGAAACTCCAGTGAGGTTCTGATTTGGTGATCACCTGAACCAAATCACATTTGATGAGGAAAAGTAGAAAATCCACTGCAGTGGTCAACATGATACTCTTGCAATAGGACCAGCAGGATGACAAAAATAGTGTGGAAAGGGAATTGGAATATGTAACGGCCACCCTGAATATCAAAGGGGTGTTTGCCGTTAGGGACGTCCTTTTCCCATGGAAGGAGCTGTGCTCCAGTATTCTCCAGATGTCATCTCAGCCGATCAGGTATTCAAATAGGTAGTAGAGCTCTTGCAAGAGCTAGTGATTAATTGTAAAGCAGGTTCCCTACAAGCACGAGACAAAGCTACGTGTTGAGGGTTAAGCAGAACTGATTTTTAATGGGGTCACACTTGCCTTTTACGCAAGTTTTCCAACAAAGGTGAAATCCAGGTGGACCTTGTTGGGCACAGGGACACACAGTGAACAACCAATAAACATAGAGTCAGACAATGAGACACTCCCATACAATACACACATTCCCTCCCATCTGCTTGTGAGATAATTGAGTTAATTACTGTATCAACTCAATTATCTCCAAATGAAAAAGAAGGACAATTTTATGCATTTCTGGAAACACCCCAAAATCACATCAGAACCCCATAAAACAGTTAGGTGGAAGTCCCATTTCTGCCCGGCTGCACATGAGGCTCCTGCCCAGAATAGTTCCATGAATTCAGCTAGTGCAGTCGGTCTCTTTCATGCAGTGTAAATTGTCGAACAATAGTTCAAATAATCGTTCGTGTGTACGACAGTTGTGTGCCTCTTTATTCGTACGTTGTTTTTACCGAATGCCGCCTAATTTGGATGAATTAAGTGGTCCTGGAAGTCTCAGCGGTGTTTGGGCCATTGAGTCTCCACTACCGTGTAACTCACTTCTCTGGGTAATAATTTTCGGCTAAGGTACGCGACAGGGTGTTCTCCTCCATCCTCTCCAACCTGGCGTCATGTGACGGGCGATGTTGCTTCCGCGTCACGTGATAATATAAGTGCGCATGTGTGGGGCATTCTTTATTCTGCGTATGTCATGTAGTGAGAAGAGGATGTGGAAGGGGAGTGTGGTTGTGGCCGCGCCCTTCCTAACCCGTGGCGATCCACGTCATCATAGTGAGTAGCTACATACTTCTGCATCACGTGAGCGGACTTCGGGAAGAGAGAGAGATATAATCCAATCTCTCTATTCACAGGGATAAACATGTAATCTTCAAGGGAAAATATACAAGGCAGCATTGGTATAGCAACATAACAGTATTGGTTAATGTGATCAAGAGGAAGATGGATGGTCACGAGCCACCAAAAAAAGCTGAGCTGCTTGAAAAAATGTTTGCACAACAGCAATGTGTATTTGGGAGAAATGTTTTCAATTTACAGAATAAAATAAAAATGTTCATTTTACTCAAACACGTACTTATAAATACCGTGTTTCTCCGAAAATAAGACCGGGTCTTATATTAATTTTAGTCCCAAAAAACACACTAGGGCTTATTTTCAGGGTAGGGCTTATTTATTTATGGTACCGGTATGTACATTTAACCCCCCCTTTAATTAATCCACCCCCTCTAATTAATCCACCCCTCTAATTAATCCACCCCCCTTTAATTAATCCACCCTCCTTTAATTAATCCACCCCCCCAATAAATCCAGCCCCCTCTAATTAATCCACCCTCCTTTAATTAATCCACCCCTCCTTTAATTAATCCACCCCTCCTTTAATTAATCCACCCCCCTCTAATTAATCCACCCCCCTCTAATTAATCCACCCCTCTAATAAATCCACCCCTCCTTTAATAAATCCACCCCCTCTAATAAATCCACCCCCCGTTTAATTAATCCAACCCCCCTTTAATAAATCCACCCCCCTCTAATTAATCCAGCCCCCCCTTTAATTAATTCACCGCCCCCTTTAATTAATTCAGTCCCAGACATAAAATATCTACTCACATTTCAAAGATGCCTTCCTTGCCCGCCGAGTCCGACCACTGGGTGCCTCACCGCCCGGAAATGGATCCTTCCGCTGAAGATCCGTGAAGGCAGACTGACGACGCTGCGCACGTCGTCATCACGTTGCGCGATGCCGCGGCCTGCAACGCTCCTCCTCCTCCTCATAGAAGAAGGAAGTCCCGCCGGGCCGAAAGGTACAATGCCTAGGTCTTATTTTCGGGGTAGGGCTTATATTGCAGCCCACCCCGAAAATTCAGCTAGGTCTTATTTTCGGGGTAGGGTGTATTTTCGGGGAAACACGGTAGTAAAACAGTACAGTAAAACGAATGATAATTTTGCAGTGGTCTCTTAATATTTTCCTGAGCTGTATATGGAGTGTTTAGTGGAGCCTCACCTGTAGAGTCAGCTGGAGCAGTACCTTCCAGTTT